CGACGTTATCTATCAGCTACAATTTTAATTGACAGATAAATCGTCTTAACTAGATATTGATAAACCGGCCCTTAATGGGTTAATGAATATCTTTTCACGCATGCATTAGAAATGGTGATAAACGATGCAATAAGTTTGAAGAAAATACAGCTTAAATGATAACACAAAAGCGAAGTTAGTTCTTCAACTTATCTAAGATGTTCAAACAATCTAAAAAGGAGCTACATTAGATATCTCAAAAAACTTGTCACTGACATTAAAATCAACACTTTCTCTGTTATAACATTTGTGTGGTGATTTAGAAGAAAAATTTTGTAATTTAAAATTTTTTAATATCATAATTAGCACGTTATTTATAAAAATGAAAAAAAAGTTAATTATGATTATGAGATTAAATAGATATAACTCATTGTTGAGGGTGGTTTAATTTCTTTGCTTTATTCACCAATAGAGTGCGTCGCGATACATTTCAAGTGGCTCCCTCATACATTTTTTTTTCGTATTTTCTCAACGTCGCCCGCCGGATCCAATTTGCGCGTTCGTTCGCCAAAGAGCTCCCCATTAATTAGAGATTTTTAAGCACGAAATGATGCGCTTATATTAATTAATTATAGCTTCGTATGTTGTGCGCCCCCGTAAAAATCCCCGCGAGGTATAATTAGTAATCGGCGCGCGCGGTGGCGGAGTGAGTAATTAGTACGTGGAGCGTCCGCTACAGCACGCAGGCAGCAGCGCCGCCGCCGCCGACGACGACGACGAGAAGGAGAACGGTAATAGAGGTTAGGTTTTGGTGGGGACGTCGGGCGGCGCTCTCGTCGTTTCGTTTTGGAAGCGGATTGGCTCGTGGAAATCATGGCAGGCGGTTCTGTCAATCCAACTGGTTCCGTTGGTGGGGATGTTGAAGGCATACCACACCGAGATCCTGCAGGATCACACCGTAGAGTTACGTCTCGCAGTGTAGAGCGTTGCGGACAATCCCGTGTGCTTTGTGCCGTTTTGTGTGTGGTTCTTGTTTTTTTGAGAAGTGAATAGAACCTCTGCCAAGCTGTTCGAACCCACCGAAGATATGTTAGAAGCGGACCTCAAAGGAGGTAGCTTACACGCAACGATGCCACCTCACCACGGGTTACAATCGTATGGATCTCTTAGCGCCCTCGGCCCGCCGCCCATGCAACATTTACAACATCCGCATCAGCTGCATCAGCAACAGGCGCCTCAAATGCACCAACAACATCACGGCCATCAACCTCAACACCTCCACCAACCGCATCAAACTCAACAACACCACCCGCATCAATCGCAACAACCGCAACAAAACCATCAACAAAACTCGGGGGCGAACAACAATAACTCTAGCAATAAAAATCAGAATTTGGAACGGGTGAAGAGGCCGATGAATGCGTTCATGGTGTGGTCAAGGGGCCAAAGGAGGAAGATGGCTCAAGAAAATCCAAAGATGCATAACTCCGAGATTTCAAAGAGGTTAGGCGCCGAGTGGAAATTATTAAGCGAGCAAGAAAAACGACCGTTTATCGATGAAGCGAAAAGATTGCGTGCTGTTCATATGAAAGAACATCCCGATTATAAATACAGGCCGCGCCGCAAAACAAAAACGCTTCTCAAAAAAGATAAGTACCCATTAGGAGCGGCCGGTTTATTACAATCGACGGATCCAGCGGCGAGGAGTGCCGCATCCGCGGTTCAACAAGCTACCGCAAGAGACATGTATCAAATGCCCAATGGTTACATGCCAAATGGTTATATGATGCATGATCCAACAGCCGCTTATCAACACCAGCAATACTCGACGAATTACGGTAGATACGACATGAGCCAGATGCAACATAGTGCGTATATGAACGGTGGTTACGGTGGTTACACGGGAACCGTTCAAACTAGTGCCGGGTCGCCTTACGGCAGTATGCAACAAGCCGGATCTTCACATAGTCCATCCGGATCAAGTATTAAATCGGAACCAGTTTCGCCAAATTCTGGATTACATACACCAACTCCCGGCGGCGGTGGAATCAAAAGGGAATACCTTAATCAACCGCAACAGCAAGGCGACTTAAGACAGATGATCTCCATGTACCTGCCCACTGATACCGCTGCTCAACATATGCAACAATATGCGGCAACGCCCGATTTGGGACCTGGACCTTTAGCACCAATATCGCATATGTGAGAACCACTATTTTCGGCACCCGATCTGGATGTGCCGCCTTTGTAAAATATATATATATATTTAAAAAAAATACTCTTTAGTGGATACGAAAAATAATTTGTTGGGAAGTGTATAAAAAATTATTATTTTAAAAACGACAAATGATTAAAAAAAAGAGGAAATTTTCAATTTTTGATTAATGAAAATTATAAACGATGATTCCTCTTCGTTTTTTTCTCACGACACACAACCAGTATTCGAAAATATAGTTAATAAGGCATCGGAAACGTGTTGTATCTTACGTAAGTACAAAAATCACATCAAAAATCTCGATTGAAAACGTAAGATGTAACAGGTCATTTAAAAAAAAAAGTACTAATTTTAAAGAAAAAAATAAATAACCGTCGTTTTCTTTATTTTTTGTTCTTTTTTCTCGATGTACATAGTAGTTCCTAAGGAAATCCAAAAAAGAAAATAACAAAATATAGAGAATCAATGATTACTTTTCGAAATCATTATTCAATTTTTTTTTTGATTACTTTTTTTTTATTACTTTTTGAGATATATTACCATTGATAAAAATAAGTATTAAAATTGTTTTTTTTTTCAATTTTGGTACGTTATATATAATGTTTATGATATTACGTTATTTGGTATGTATCTGAAAAAGTATTATTTAAATTTCAAATAAAAAAAATTTAAATCTTGTAAATATTAACTTAAAATTTAAACAGTAAAACGAAATCATTTAATTTCAAGTGCCACGGCAACTTCAAAGTACATATTCTGTTTTACATTTGTATTTTTTACATAAAAAAAAGCAGTGTTTTTAATTCATTAATTGATTTTTTTTTAAATCGGCATTAGAAGTACACTCAGACTAATTATTATGTATTATTAATTAGGTTTTTTTATTTATTATTTTATATAATATAATACATTCCTTTTCTTTTTCGTTACTATTTTTAACTATTAGAATTATTATTCTATGAAATATTAAACGAATTCATTCACGAATAAATAATTCATTTAATATTTCTATAAAAATACTTTTTACGTCTTCTTATTATTGTTTTTTTTGTGTACTTCTCGCGTTGACTATTAAAAAAAGTGTATGTTAAAAATAAACGCTCTTACTGTCTTACCGAAAAAGAAATCGATCAAAAAAATTAAAACAAACGTAAGAAGAGAACATTGTCTATGCTGTGATTTTTACGTGACACTTTGAAATACATTGTATATATATAAATACATATATATATATTTAAGTTTTTCAATGTGCAGTACGATTGAGCTAGTTGTTGAATGATGACCGAACGCAGCCGTATGAGAAATTTAACTTGATGACAACAAATATACGTGCGAGTTACAAATTTAAGACTTTTTCTTTTTTATAACAAACACCATAAAAAAATTTACCTTAATTTTCAGTGCTAAAAAATTAAATGTAAACGAAAAGACTTCAGGTAAGTATTTGCACATGTAATAAAGAAACGCTTATGATATAATATATATTTATACAGGGTGTGTTTGAATAACATTGCCAAAGTCGGTTTATGTTTGACTTTCAGTTTATTTTAACAGTTTGAGTCTTTCTAGTATTTACCCAAGTTTACAAATAAGTGGCTTGTTATGAGATCTTTTTTCAAAATTAATTTTCTACGTGTTTAATAAAATAATTTTTTAATTATTTTCAAGGAGGAAATTGGGCGAAGTTATTCAAGCACATCGTGTATACAAAATATGTCACTACCACAATCTCGGAATCACCATACAGGATTATTTTAATTAATCCAATGAAACCATCAAGTTGTAAAAAATCATATTTTGCTCTTTAAAAACACTTTGAGTATTTCCAAATTAAATGTGTCTAACTTCAATGGGACCTCAAGTTTCAAAAACAAATAGATACACTTTTTTTTTCAAAATTGTAATGATCAATATACATATAGATAAATCTATATTTTATGATGTTTTGGGTAACATCATAATATAAAGATAAAACAGGTTAGCATAAATTACCGTGAGGGGACAATAAATATCGCGAAATTTCAATACTTGCAATATTTTACAAGAAGATACATAGATAACAAGCCAACACAAAGATTTAGTTTGGCCGGCGCAAAAGTTTACGACATTATTTTTCTATTCCTTCCCATTAAGCAGTTAAAAAATAAAATAGGTATAATACTTGGTAAATTTTTGGTCAAATTGATAATAAGAAAAAATTTTTAGAAATTGTTTGAAATCTTAATGATGACTTAGGTTGTGATTAAATAAAAGCTTTAAAATGACATCAAACACGACCATATCTTTAAAAATAGCTGAAATAAAACTGGATGAGAACAAAAAAATTAATCAATAATGAAAGTTTTTAGAACGATCGCATTTTGGGTTGTTGTTCAAGATAATCTCATCGCGTTTGCACTCATTTTAAAGGAATTTTCATTTTCTACAAAAATATGTTGTTTTCAAATCATACTTTTATAGGAGTTCCAGAAAACTGCTTTCATACTTCGGGTATAGATAATGATGTCTAACAATTAAAACAATTAGATGGATATAAATTCTGATAGTTGTTACTTTGAAGGATAATTATTATTCTCAGGAAGGATTGTGAGCAATAAAATCGCAATTAATTGATTCGCCAATATTTCGCATCTATTTTCGACGCTTCCTCATGATGAGTAATTGTTCTTAAAGTAAATAAAACTACAATTTACTTACAATTGCACTAAATTTGCGAAAATTTTGGGCTGTCAAAAAAACTACATGTAAAACGTGTTTTACATTGGTGAATCAATTAATTGCGATTTTATTGTCCACAATCCTTCCTGAGAATAATAATTATCCTTCAAACTGATAACGGGATTGAGGAAAAAAATCTCCTGCTTGGTTTTCTTTGAATACTAAAATACTTTCTTGTACTTATTATGAAATATCTCACTATCATTGTCAGCAAAATGTAATGTTCTATGTAGTAGAAAAAAACGATCTTGAGAAAATTGATTTTTGAACTATGTTATGGCAATTATTGAATTGTGCTACAATCCCTCATACATTTTTTCCAGTGAAGTTAATCAAAACAATATGCAGATTTTTTAGACCTGATTGTTCCAAATATATATCCAAATTATTATTTAAAATAATATTGTATACATAGTCAGCTCTCAAAATATAGTTACAACCTATTTATGTATTTACATAAACTTTTTCGCATTTCTTTTCATTGTAATGATCTGTAAATCAGTATTACAGGTACTGATTTCTCGTTTTCATCTGAACATTTCTGTGGATGACAACATAATGGCGATACATCGGGAATTGGATGAATAATGATGAGTACATTTATTAGAGTCTTTTCCTTACAAATTTGAAAATTTATTTGAAAAAGAATTTAGACAGTATGAAACTAGATGATTCCCAACATCAAATTCCCATAAAATAGTGTCCCCAAATACTTATTTAAAAAAATAAGGCGACTATTGTAGATTTCACCATGTCACATTTAATATTGAAGACACTCTGTATCTCTACAAAGGCTGATTGCTAATTAAGTAACACATCCGAGCCAAAGATCATCGCATTGGCATCAAATTTTTGTAATTTAGGATGCAATAATTGGATATCATTAGCCACTCTTTAAAATGATACAAAACGAATATGTTGAGAAGAAGACGCCATCACAATTATAACAACAATCATATACTACTAATATCGAAACTACTTACTAAAGTTGTAATTGTGTATTATCAAAAAATAATGAACTATTTTTCCATCACAACCTAAGTCTCAACATTTACGTAATGGATAAATTGGTGCAAAATGAGATTTTATGCAGAAAAATTCTCAGAACCCAGAAATTTGTAGACGCTGTAGATAGCACCTTGTTTCTGTATGTTTCTGCCACGTAAGTACTTTTAGACCGATGTTTAATAATCATGTAGATGTCGATAAAGTGTATTTACATGTTGAAAATGTGACGAATGAAAGAAAATATATGAAAAGATACTATCGAAATTGGTTATGGGAAATTATCTCTTATAGGATTTTTCCACCGTAGTAGCTCTGGCAAAATGGAGAGTTATCCCATAGGTACTTCATGAAATCTGGGCCATATAAACTAGTTCATGCAATCACAAAAAATAATCCTGATTCAACTGAACAATGTAGGATAGAACTTTGGGCAATATTTTTGAGTAAGGTGGAAACTCATAGGCATCCTAATTCTTTAAAGAAGTTTTCACAGAGCAAGTGCAGAAATGGTAAAATGTTTGGAAGCAGGAATTTAGAAACAATAAAGATTTGGTTAATTACCCTATATTTAATTTGCTATATAATATCCAAATTATGAATCGGACATCGATGGCATAAAGAAAAAGAGATCAATAAGACGTAAAAGTAAGAAGCAAAATGTTGCATATTGAACTTCAAAAGTCATTGCGAACCTAGATAAGAATGGATTTGGAACTTTCATAATTCACCCTAGATCTAGGCAAAATTGTGCTATTCAATATATATAACTAAATTCGAGCAGAGTTTTTATCTTACAGTTACTAAAAAATTAAGCTTAATTTTCATACACTTCTTTCTGTTCAAAATTTGAATGTTCTCAAAACTCACCTTATTGATTTGGACGATGCAAGTGCAAAATAATCGCAACTGGTACGGAATGCGATAAATAAATAAAATTCAAATTTGTCAATAGAAAAAGAATAAGACTGCGTACAGCTGGAAAACATTAACATTTTTCATTGCCAAGACCATAGATTTCCATAGACATAAATCTTTTTCAATTTATTCATTTTTAAAATGTGTCTACTGGTTTATTGAAATGAAGAATACACTGATTTCAAATTTGGCAATAACAAAAAAAATTACGACCGATTATTATCCAAACAAATAATCTTTAGCAACCAAAACCACATTTTTTTCAATTCTTTCTTCATAACGCGTACCGATTGATCTATAGAACATGCTGAATATTCGCAATTCAAATTTGGCAATGACAAAAAATAGACGTTTTTGAAGATAGGTTGTTCTGAACATGTTTGGTGCAATGGGAAAAGCTGTAAAATTAATATTTCTGTACTAATTAACTCGATTTCAATTGTATTATATTTTTTATTAATTATTTTTTACT